CTTCAAGGAGATCCTTCATCTGATTCTCTCAACTAAGGAGAATGTAATATGTACATGAATTGCAATGAAAACATGGACCTAGTATGTTGTATTAATGGTCCTTACTCATAGGGTCTAGTGTAAACAAATGTGTTTCATATACTAGATATGTTTGGATACGATTCTTTCAACCCTTTGTCTTGCCTTTTTCCTTTTACCTTTGAATTGGTGTTTCAGTGTTTTATTCATTTAAAGGCTTTTTATGTCATCTGAGGAAGGGAAATGGAAAAAACGCAGTAAAAATGATGGTTGTAATCCATTTTTCTCTTCAAAAGAATTGTTTTTATTAGAGTGGCTGAATAGTGCGGGAGCATTTTGCCATTTTCTTCTAAAACAAAAGTTCATGTAAAGGCTTGGAGTGTTCTCTAGTTTAATCGAATAAACTCTTATTAAACATTCCACCCTTTGTGATTTTCATCTGTCTTGGTAGTTGGATCATCTTTCAACTTCATTGTACCTCTAAATATTTTGTTAGTTACTATGATCATCACATGTACTCCTGTTGTGGCCTTTGGTTCTATTTGTTTGTGTTCATCAATGAGGATTCAGCGTTGTTTTGGTCACTACAAAGAATCTGGCAGTTGATTTGGGAAGGAGGCTTTTTAGCTTTTTTTGGCTAAAATAACACTAAAAGACAAAATATGTTAAAATAGCTAATAAGACAAAATGTCACATTAAACTTATAATCATTTCACTTTTTCTCTCACAAACATCATATCCAACTACTAAAAAATCCAATCATCTTCCTAAACACAAAAATTTTAGCCTACTAAAATAGCCAAAAACTAAAATACCCTACTAAAATAGCAACTTCCCAAACACCCACATTGAATAGGTTGATTTTGTCACTGGGTGAAGGTTTTGAAGGAAACTTTGGAGGGTAAATGAGGTCCTCAAAGGTCTCCTCAGTAATCATTGCTCAAACTTTATTTCGTGACCATAAAATATCATTTTTATCATGTACAGATCCATTTTTTTTTTTTTGATTAGCAAAGAAAATCTTTATTGATGATGAAACCGTACATTACATATAGGAATACATCAATAAGGATGAGAAAGGAAAAGGGAGAAAAAGGAAACCAAGCATGGTGTTGGTGAGAAACCAACACTAACTCACAGGACCACAAACACTAAATACCCCCACCCAAAAACTAACATATCAACTTGATGCCACCACCCAAAGGCTATCTAACAAAAGCACACAACTCACTACATGCTCCAATGTTGCTTACTTGTTGCCATTCTACTTCCTTCTTAGACCTAACCCTCCTATTTGGACCTCTCTTTGTCCTGTAACTCTAACTCGATAATCTTATTCAGAACATCCTCTTCTTTTCCATTGAAATTAATGCCAAGAGATGTACCCAATTATAAAATGGATTTAGCTTCATTGAGGAGAAAATTGCTTGGCCTAGAAACACCCTCAAACAGATCTGAACGAGCTATCGCAGCTGCTGCTGGTCTGAAGATGACAGACTTAGAGGTGTGCTTGCTGACTGCTGCAACTTTATGCCCATGAAGTCTAGCAAAACTGGAGAACCCCTCTAGCTGAACCTTCTTCTTTCTTTTTTTTCTTCTCATTCCGCAAGAGTTTAGGGGCAGATGCAAATTGCCTCCCTGAGCCTGAATGATTTAGGCTCAGAAAATACTCAGTGCTTGGGCCAAATCCACTTCAAGATTAATGCCATGACCATGCCCATCTCTAGATCCACTAAAGCTTCTAGGAAAACCAGGAGTAAAAGCTTGCTCAACCTTAATTTTCAGGCTGTGCATTGACTCCTCCATCACGGTCTCCTCGACAACTGTGTTAACCTCCTCTCCCAAATGACAATCACTAGGCCCTGTCCTCTGCTCTACCTCCTTGGAACAAGCTTCCTCTTCCCCGCTAAAAACTCCATTGCACTTTGACTCCTCAACAACTGTGTTAACCTCCATCACACTTTTTCCCTCCTTCTCCCTGTAGCATCCCTCTGGAATTGTTCTTTCTACACCACTGCCACAGATTTCGTTGGAGCTGCACTCTTCCAAACCATCGTGCTTCATGATGCTACAATCTGCTAAATGTTCATCACACACAAGAATGGGATGAAGTTTACCCTTGCACTCCAAAAATATATTTTTGTTACTAAACTCCATAGAAGATGTAGCCACTCTGATTCTGGTATGGGAGAAGGCCTTTGGTTGGCAAATATCATCATCCAAGGTTAGAACAGTACCCCAAAAGCTTCCAATGTTGTTGAATGTGCCCCTATTCCAAAGACTTAGAGGTAAGCCATAACACCTCAACCACACACATCTCTCTTGTTCTAGATAAACTCCTGGCTTCCATTCTACCACAAACTGACTCCAATTCTTAAACCATTCTTTGATATTGCAGATATTTGATTTTAGCTCCTCTTGAGATTTGAAGGTTAATACTATATCTCTTCCTCCCTCTTTTCTGACCAATACCTAATCTAACCCTTTCTCCTTCAGGACATTTTCAATGATACTAGTAGAGTATTCAGAATTAAGCCTGACTATTGCATTATCATAAAGCCAACCATTACCCTCTTCATTGGCTTTTATGATCAATCTTGTTTTCTCAGCCACAGTGGGAGTGACCCCTTTTAATACTTCAATGAATGATATACGACCTGTAAATGAAACATCATCCCTGTTTCTATTAGTTTCAAGAGGTCTTCTGATGATCTGAGATCTGCTCCTGCTCTGTTCAGCTCTGTTGCTCTTGATATTGGTAGCTTTTTTGACTTCTAACACCCTTTCATCTACCAACAGACCATTGGCTTTTTGGATGGCAATGTCTGCTGCTGCAGGGTAGTCAAATCTCACAAAACCAAATCTAGATTTTGACACTGTCCTTCTTTTGAAGGGTATAAAAACATCCTTAACTAAGCCAAACTGAGAGAAAAGTTTGGACAGAGTTTTAGCATCCATAGCTGCAGGTAAATTATCCACAAATAAAGTGAATAGTCCATGCTTAACTTCCTTACCTTGAACACCACCTCTTTCCTCTGCCTTACTACCGGAAACCAGCCTTTGTTTCCTCCTTGTGCCATTGCATTTTCACTAAAACATTTTATCAAACAAGTGGAGTGCGAAAACTTCTTAACTGGGTAAAAACAGGACCAGCTGCTCTTGGCTTCCCCCAAAACACAAAGCCCAGATTCAATCAGAGGGTCAAAAGGGATGCTAAAGCCTTACCCGAATGATGATGAATGGTATAATTGAAAAAATGATCAAGACGCCGCTAGTGAGTTCTAACCAAGTTCTTCACATTCGAACCACTGACCTTTGCAGATCTTCGATCGGTAAATCACCGGACGCCGAGGAATTCACTGGGGATCGCCAATCTCGCCGATCATAGTCGTTGGAGATCACCGATCATAGCCGTTGGAGATGTACAGATCCATTACCCTCAAAAAGGGTAGGTAATTGTTACTAAAATCTACATTCAGCATTTTTGGTGTCTAAATAGTATTGACTTGAACTCTTGATAAAATTTGAATTCACGAGAGTTCTCAACTCTGAGGAATTCAAACTCTCCGCGAATATATAGTTAAGATCATGTGCATACTGTGCCTGCTCGGCTCTTATTCTAGATCACAGTTTTCCAATTATTAGTTCATTTTTCTTATCTGATTTTCTAGATCAACTGCTTAAACCTGTTTCCGTATATTGTTTTTTTTTTTTTGGTTATTTTAAATCAGTTTATCTGAAGCAATCATGCAATTTATTGCTGTCATTTCTGTAGGAGAGGGTTCAAGAACGTTGCTTGAAAATTCGAAGATCTTCGAAGATCCTTGAAGAACAACTTCGAATTCTCTAAAAGATGATGAGAGGCTTAGATTCTTCAATAGTCTCAACTCAAGAACACAAGAGTAAATGAGATGATGGAGATAAGAGATTGGGTGAAGAAAAAGGCAAACTGGCTAGAGAGAGAATAATGGCAAGGCTCTCCCATGGATCTCCCACTTTCACTCTCAAGGTTGATAATGGAGATGGGAAATTAGTTCTTTCCCAAAAGTCATCTCTCCAAAATCCATCCCTTGTAAAGCTATGGGTGGGTGCTATTTATAGGCACCTCATGATGTAGGATAGAGCCCATGTGCAAGGCACATGGGGAATATTCTCTCTAACCACCTTGTCCGAGGAGGTGACCTCTCCGAGGATGAGGAAAACCCCGAAGAGGAGATCAACCTCTCGGCGAACCCTTCTTCTTAGCCACACCTAACCAATGATCCCCAATCATCCCAAAGGGTCAGGGGTAGTCCCAGAGGACGTCCTGCCGCAAAATATTGCCGAGTCTCATGGACCCCCCGGGGTCGTGCCACCTCGACCCGGGTATAGGCTAGTTTAACCGAAGAGTGAATTTATCTCCACTCACCGTCCTCGGGATCGGGTCCTTTGTTCGAACTCCATTACGCCCATGGTTCTGGTGCGTAGATCCCGGAAAGCTCCGAGCCCGCAAGTGTTCTGGGACTCATTAACGGAGCGACTTCTAGATTGCGTCTGAACCCTTTCGAGTCCGAGTGCCTCGGATCTCTAGGCTTGCTTAATACCCTTTCGAGTCCGGGCCCGAGTAAGTCTCTAGGTTCATGGATCCAAACCCTTTCGAGGCTTAGAGCCATTCAGCCCGTTTGATGGCGATAAATCTGGGCCCGCCAGCCTTAAACTTAACTCCTCTTACATTTGCCCCTTGCGTGTATGAGAAATTTTAAATTTCTCAGACATGCATACTGTCATTTCTTCGACCCTACTTCGCATCACGTTCCCAAAAAAAAAACATGTTGTCACGACAGAGCCTATGGATAAAGTTGATGACACACTTCAATTTACAGAAAAAATTGACAAGCAAAAATTATTTTTTTTTTTGTACTTTTCTTCGTCCCACTGAAATATATTTTTATAACATTTGATAAAATATACATATTCGTTTTTTTTTATTCTTAACAAACAAGGCTCACACGTGTCTTTTTTTTTTTTTGGCAAACATAGCGGACCAATTACATACATACACATATTTAGAATATGCTAATGGAATATTCAAAGGATAAGGCTTCCTTTTTTCTATTTAAGGAAAAGGATGAAGACCTAATCAATACATCTTTTTCTTTCTTGAAACCCTGCGGCGCACACACTCTCTCACTAAAATGAGAGCCCACCCCAGGTTGCCTGTCTTCCTTTTCAACAGAGCTCCGTAGCCACTAAGCCAACGCTGGTTGCTCACAAGGCCAGAGCTGCTGCCGTTTGCACAGACCTCCATTGCGATTTCAAGCCACGCCGCCAAAGGCCCACGCCAATTTCACTGTTGGCCAACACCGGCACCAACTCATCGCGGTTGCTACCTCCTCCTGTTACTAGCGTCCTGTCGCAGCTCCACCTACTACAAACGCCGACCACCATCGCAATGCCATCCACCTAGCTCATCTCCAACTATCGTGAATCGTCACGGCCAGCCATCGTCTTGTCCCAGCTCCAATCGGCCAGCACCAACGCCACTGCTACAGCCGGCTTCGACTGCCCAGCCTCATTGCCAACTCACAGTCAGCTTCTCCGCTGCGGCCTCGTCGCTGGCCTCGACTGTTGCTCCAGCGCCAACCACACACGTCGCCCTTTCAACGCGTCGTGTGTGGTCACCAACTCTGCTGCGACATCACCGCTGCTTTCGGCCTCGCTCATCCAACGCCGACCACGCACGTTTGCCCACTCAACGTCGTGTGTGGTCTGGCCTAACATCGCTTAGCTTCAGTTTTGTTGATCAACGTCGACGCCGACTCTGCTACTTCTTAAACACTATCTTCCTTCGTTGGCGTAAATTTGTGAGCAAGTTCTTTTAATTGTTTTGTTTATTTATTTATTTATTTTTTTTGGGTGTGCCTTTTCTCTCTCTGAAATTTGAAACCCATTTGTTTGTTTCTTTGAAAATGAACAGTTCACCATCTTCTTCAAAGAACCAAAGCTGCATCTTGCTTTTGCATCCCGTTGAAGATCATTGCCGCTGCTATAACTTCGGACGCCATCACCATCACCGAAGACCTACACCACTGTTGTTGGTATTTCATTTTGGCCCAATAATGTAGCATCTGAGCTTTAGATACACCAAATCTCGGTACTACTCCTCCGGCGACCACCTATTGCAAACGTCGTGACCCAAGCTGTTGTCCACCTTTCTCTGCTACAACTTTGCCTTCGTCTTTGTTTGTCCAGCGCTTTGCCTTCGTCTTCGGCTATTCAGCGCGAACCACGCGTCACCTACTCAACGCGATATGTGTGGTTTTTCCTAACACCATCCAGCTCGTTATTCTCACAGCCCGGCACCATTTTTCAGAGTTTGAATCATATAGATCTCGGTTTTTTGCATACTCACTGGTTTCAGCCGTGATTAATCAATGCGGACCATGTCGCCGACTCAACACGGCGTCGGTTTGCCTATCTCCTTTCTTGCCCACTGTCTGTGATGTCATTCTTGACCTACACCGCTTTTGGTCTTCATTCTCTTCCTACTCCTTCGAATTTGTGAGTAAGTGTTCGTCGAAACCCCATTCTTGAATTTTTTTCTGATACATAAAAAAAATATATATATATATATATATTGTTGCTCATGAACCTGGCTTGCAAAGAATAAATTTGGGATTTGTGTTCTTGACTTCTGAATAGCTAGTGCTTGGTTGTTGAGGGAAATAAAGCCCTTGTTGAACCTTGATTTGCATGAGAAATGTAGTCTTGAAATTCATGTTTTGAAACTTGTCCCTTGTCAAAGAATAAAAAATGATATATTGTTGTTTGTTGAACTCATAGATCATCAGAGAAATAAATAGTTGATGCTGACATTTTGTTTGAACATTGTTGCTTTTCGGCCTGAGAGGAACCGGTCTGGAGAGACAAAAACTTGATTGTTGCATTTTTCATGAACTCGCTCAAAGGAATAAAATTGTTGTAACTTAAATAGATCATTATTGTTTGTTGATGTTGCCCTATTCCGATAATGCCTGAATGATATGAAATTGATATTGCTCATCTCATTTGTCGGTTTTACTATTTCAGGCAAATAAATTTTTGTGCGAAATCCACGACCCCGAGGCCTTCAGAATCTTCACTAATGAGAGCAAGGGCTGTCCTTCGGAAGTCTGAACGAGAGCAAAACTGTCCTTTAGGAGCCTAACAGTAGCATACACCTTACTTTGGCAAGAAATATTCCTCTAAAAGGCAACCGAGTCTACAAAGCTTGCACAAATAGAAGTAAAGATTGTCTCTCAGAAGTCCGAGCAGAAGCAAGGCTGTCCCTCAGAAGTTCGAGTGAAAACAAGGCTCTCTCTCAGAAGTCCGAGGGAGAAGTCCGAGCGGCAACAAGGCTCTCCCTCGGAAGTCAAAGTGGATGCGCACTTCTACGTCGGCAGCTAATGGAAGTAAAGGCTATCCCTCGGGAGTTCGAGTAAGAGTCCACTCTACTTTGAAAAGAAAGATCCTCGGAGCTCGTATAGATGAAATCAATGGTTGTTCTTCGGACCCGCACTAATGAGAGCAAGAGTTGTCCCTCAGAAGGCCCTCCCTCAGAAGTCCGAGCAGAAACAAGGCTGTCTCTCAGAAGTCTGAGTGGATGCGCACTTCTACTTCAGCAGCTAATTGAAGCAAAGGCTATCTCTCAAAGCTCGCACTGACGGAAGCGAGACCTGTTCTTCGAAAGTCTGAGGCGGAGAACACACTCTACTTCAGCAAGAAAGATCCTTGAGGCTCGCACTGATGAAAGCGAGGTCTGTTCTTCGAAAGTCTAAGTGGGAGCACACACTCTACTTTAACAAGAAAAATCCTCGAAGCTCACGCTGATGGAAACAAGATTTGCTTTTCGAAAGTCAGAGTGGGAGCACACACTCTACTTCAACAAGAGAGATCCTCGAAGCACGCTGAGTGGGAACACACACTCTGTTTCAACAAGAAAGACCCTCGAAGCTTGCACTGATAGAAGTAAGTGTTGTTCTTCGGAAGTTTGAATAGAAGCAAAGGTTGTCCCTCGGAAGTCCGAATGAAAGCAAGAGATGTCTCTCGGAAGTCTAAATGTACCTATACTCTCTTCTTCAGCAATCAATGGAAGCAAAGGTTGTCCCTCGAAAGTCCAAATAGGAGTATACTCTACTTTAACAAGAAAGATCCTTGAAGCTTGAACTGACAGAAGTAAGGGCTATTCTTCGGAAGTCGAAGTGGGATCACACTCTGCTTCAATAAGAAAGACCCTCGAAGCTTGCACTGATGGAAGCCATGGCTGCTTTTCGAAGGTCCGAGTGGAAGTACACTTCTACTGTGTCAAGAAAACTCCCTTCAGGTTGGTAACTAAGTCTACTTTTCCTCTTTCTTCTTTGAAGGGCAACGAAAATTGAAAACTGTTTCAAGCAACATAACACAATGAAGATATACAATGTAGAGAAAATAACTTCTGATGAAGATATATAATATGGAGGAAATAAATTTCTTCATGGCATAAGAAAGATAGAACTCCTTGGATAATGCAGTAAATATAAATTGTAAATGTCATAGATAGGCTTCTTCTACGGAATGTTGAAATTAGCCCCTAGAGTTGCAACATCATTTGGAAAGCTTTCACCAGCTGCTCGGATTATGGCCATCATGCACCATCATAGCCATGTCTTTGGATCTTTTTGTACAGACTGATATCCCCATCCCCGCAAGACTTTTCATGGATCTGTTGTAGTCGGAAACTTGCTTCTTGTTGGCCAACACACCGGGCTAGGAATCCGGTACCTCCTCGGAAGTAAAGTTCACCTTGAATAACTATGAATTGGGCAAGCTTGGCCATAGTCAATTTTCCAACTTTGCTTCTGAGTTGTTCGAGGACTTCTCCTCTCCAGTCCTCCGGAAGGCCTTTGTCTTCAGGTATTATCGAAGGCTCTATTCTCTTCTTGATAATAATTGTCGCCTCCTCCTCTGGGATATCAACTCCTGCCCCTAATGTAGCGAGGGCATCTAAAAACTTGTTGTCGGAATGAGGCACATGCTCTATTTCGACCTTCTGAAATTTGTCAAGAAGCCTTCGGACTGTTGTTCGATATGTGGCCAAGGCAGGCTCCTTTAAGACGAATTGTCCTGAAACTTGCTTCACTATCAACTTTGAGTCCCCCCGAATCCGAATCTTCTTGATACTGTGCTTCTCAGCAGCTATCAAGCCTAACATACGAACCTCATACTCGGCTTCATTATTCGAACAATGGAAATCCAGTTTATAAGACAAATATAACTTTTCCCCACTTTTGCTTGTAAGGACTGTCTCGGTTCCTCCTTTACCTTCGGCTGCTGCTCCGTCAAAGCTCAATGTCCAAAAGCTTTCCTCGGAAGCCATAGCTGCATGCACCTCTCCTCTTACTTCTTCATTCACTGGTTCATAGTCACCACTTGGAATTTGAGCAAGGAGGTCAGCTAAGGCTTGGCTTTTAATCGCCTTGGGGGCTACACATGTGATCTCGAATTCATCCAGTGCTAACAACCATCTTGCCACCTTCCCGGTTATAGCAGGCCTGCTGATGAGGTATCGGATTAGATCATTCCTAGTAACAATTTGAATCTGATGTGCTAAGAAGTAATGTCTGAGCTTTTGGGCGGTGAATACCAAAGCTAAGCAATGTCTCTCTATCGGAGTATATCGGACTTCTGCTCCTCGAATCTTCTGGCTGATGTAATACACCGGGCGTTCTGCTCCATCTACATCTTGGACCAATAATGCCCCTATGGACTTGGGAGTTGAAGTTAAGTACAACATTAGAGGGACCCCGGGCTGCGGGGCTATCATGGTCTGAGGCGAGGTTAAGGCCGCCTTGATTCTCTCAAAGGCCTTTTGGTGCTCTTGGTTCCACTCGAACTTGGCATCTCCTTTTAACAAAGAGCCGAAAGGCGCAGAGATCTCTGCCAGTGCTGGGATAAACCTCCGAATATAAGACACCTTCTCGAGGAACTTCTTTA